CCACGTCATTAAGTCAATAAATTATGTCATATTTTTAGGTTCAAATAACATTTTCTTTATGGAGAAATGATGACAGGAATAAATCGAGAAAAATAAAAACTACAAAAAGAAAAAATGAAATTTAAGGACCAGTTCCTAGTGTAATTGACACTTTGTTGTCATCGTCAGTATTGATGGTCAGCAGGGCAACAACACAAACAATACAATTACCTGTCAGGCTGTTTCATGCACGAAGACAAAGAAAAAGAAGAACAACGTTGCCGTTCCAGTAGTAGCCTCAATCGTTGCTGCATTGTTTGTGGTCTTGACTGTATTGGGTACCCTGTGTCTGGTTAAAAGGAGACGACAAAGAGGTATAAATCACTGTTACAAAATTTGAAGTTCTTAATCGAAGGTTTATCTGAGATTCTTCATGTTGTCTGTTCAATTTGATATGATTTAATTAGTGAGAAAGGTGGATGCCGACTCGAACAAGAATGATAGCACAATCGAGACAAAGAATCGTCAGTTTACATATTCTGAGGTCCTGAGTGTCACCAACAACTTCGAGAGAGCCATTGGTAAAGGAGGGTTCGGCACAGTATACCATGGATATGTGGGGGACACACAAGTTGCTGTGAAGATGCTCTCTCCACAATCAATTCAAGGGTACAAACAATTTCAGGCAGAGGTAAGTCAGAGATACTCTCTGAATCGTGAAAACTGTTAATAAAAAGTGTTCGATGAAATGCCAAGCTGAACTGTGGGTTTAAATAACAACAGGCCAACCTTCTTATGAAGATTCATCACAAAAGTTTGACATCTTTTGTTGGGTATTGCAACGAGGGGACAAACAAGGGAATCATATACGAGTACATGGCAAATGGGAACTTAGAGAAGCACCTCTCAGGTACTTGAAAAGTTTCAGTATCGGTTCTTTCACATGTTTCCTCTTAATTTAAGTTCCATTGGAATAGTTTCAGTTGATAGCCACATGATTAAAGTTCCTCTCGAAACAAAAACATACAATTTGAATCGTTATTTCACCGCTGCAGCTAGAAATTCAAATGTTTTAAATTGGGAAGACAGACTTCAAATAGCAATTGACACCGCACAAGGTCAGTTATGAGCAGATGAATTCCTATTTACTGTCATCTCACTTCTCATGCTCCGTGTAGATGTAGGTAAAGCTACTAATGGTGGAGTTGATTTGCAGGATTGGAGTATCTGCACTACGGTTGCAAGCCACCAATAATCCACAGAGATGTGAAGTGCACCAATATCTTATTAGACGAAAAGTTTCATGCCAAACTAGCTGACTTTAGGCTATCCAGGGCTTTTCCGATTGAAGGTGATACTCATGTGTCCACTGTAGTTGCTGGCACTCCTGGGTACCTTGACCCGGAGTAAGTATTTTTCATTCTCTCTTCAATACCTTTTTTTTACCAAGAAACCTCCCAACCATGTTGTTTGGACTCTTAGTTGTTACATGAATTTGGAGTGTACACAATTATTCTTTAATCATGCATATTGGGTCAATCAAAGCGTCTCTTGCGAGACTCGAACTTAAGACCTCGAGTAATTAACCACTGAAAGGTTATCATTTGAGCTATTGATGGGTTGAGATCATTTTCCTTTATTGGTCACTTTCTTATACAAACCACTATTGTGATCTTTTTGTCACATACAATCATGTTTAACAATATTTTCGCTTGCAGATATTACTCATCAAATAGGTTGACAGACAAAAGTGATGTCTATAGCTTCGGGGTTGTACTGTTGGAGATAATCACAGGCCAACCAGCTATAATAAAAACTCATGAGCAGGCTCACATTGTTCAATGGGTTAGTTCAATTCTTGAAAAAGGGGATGTTAAAAATATTGTTGATCCAAGATTAGGGGGAGGTTTTTATGTTAATTCTGCCTGGAAAGCTGTGGAGTTAGCAATGGCNACAGTAACTATTGCATTTCTTCGTTGAGATGTTCACTTAACATATCATTCGGTTAACATCAAATGAGTTATGCATAATTCTGAGAAGAGCAATGTAATTGAGACTTAATTTACTGACATAATTTTACTAACCTAATTCACTATGAACTTTGGATTGATTGTGTGCTATATCAAATATTAGAACTTGGTGTTAATTCAATGGTTCCAACAAAGCCACGTCATTAAGTCAATAAATTATGTCATATTTTTAGGTTCAAATAACATTTTCTTTATGGAGAAATGATGACAGGAATAAATCGAGAAAAATAAAAACTACAAAAAGAAAAAATGAAATTTAAGGACCAGTTCCTAGTGTAATTGACACTTTGTTGTCATCGTCAGTATTGATGGTCAGCAGGGCAACAACACAAACAATACAATTACCTGTCAGGCTGTTTCATGCACGAAGACAAAGAAAAAGAAGAACAACGTTGTCGTTCCAGTAGTAGCCTCAATCGTTGCTGCATTGTTTGTGGTCTTGACTGTTTTGGGTACCCTGTGTCTGGTTAAAAGGAGACGACAAAGAGGTATAAATCACTGTTACAAAATTTGAAGTTCTTAATCGAAGGTTTATCTGAGATTCTTCATGTTGTCTGTTCAATTTGATATGATTTAATTAGTGAGAAAGGTGGATGCCGACTCGAACAAGAATGATAGCACAATCGAGACAAAGAATCGTCAGTTTACATATTCTGAGGTCCTGAGTGTCACCAACAACTTCGAGAGAGCCATTGGTAAAGGAGGGTTCGGCACAGTATACCATGGATATGTGGGGGACACACAAGTTGCTGTGAAGATGCTCTCTCCACAATCAATTCAAGGGTACAAACAATTTCAGGCAGAGGTAAGTCAGAGATACTCTCTGAATCGTGAAAACTGTTAATAAAAAGTGTTCGATGAAATGCCAAGCTGAACTGTGGGTTTAAATAACAACAGGCCAACCTTCTTATGAAGATTCATCACAAAAGTTTGACATCTTTTGTTGGGTATTGCAACGAGGGGACAAACAAGGGAATCATATACGAGTACATGGCAAATGGGAACTTAGAGAAGCACCTCTCAGGTACTTGAAAAGTTTCAGTATCGGTTCTTTCACATGTTTCCTCTTAATTTAAGTTCCATTGGAATAGTTTCAGTTGATAGCCACATGATTAAAGTTCCTCTCGAAACAAAAACATACAATTTGAATCGTTATTTCACCGCTGCAGCTAGAAATTCAAATGTTTTAAATTGGGAAGACAGACTTCAAATAGCAATTGACACCGCACAAGGTCAGTTATGAGCAGATGAATTCCTATTTACTGTCATCTCACTTCTCATGCTCCGTGTAGATGTAGGTAAAGCTACTAATGGTGGAGTTGATTTGCAGGATTGGAGTATCTGCACGACGGTTGCAAGCCACCAATAATCCACAGAGATGTGAAGTGCACCAATATCTTATTAGATGAAAAGTTTCATGCCAAACTAGCTGACTTTGGGCTATCCAGAGCTTGTCCGATTGAAGGTGATACTCATGTGTCCACAGTAGTTGCTGGCACTCCTGGGTACCTTGACCCGGAGTAAGTATTTTTCATTCTCTCTTCAATACCTTTTTTTTACCAAGAAACCTCCCAACCATGTTGTTTGGACTCTTAGTTGTTACATGAATTTGGAGTGTACACAATTATTCTTTAATCATGCATATTGGGTCAATCAAAGCGTCTCTTGCGAGACTCGAACTTAAGACCTCGAGTAATTAACCACTGAAAGGTTATCATTTGAGCTATTGATGGGTTGAGATCATTTTCCTTTATTGGTCACTTTCTTATACAAACCACTATTGTGATCTTTTTGTCACATACAATCATGTTTAACAATATTTTCGCTTGCAGATATTACTCATCAAATAGGTTGACAGACAAAAGTGATGTCTATAGCTTCGGGGTTGTACTGTTGGAGATAATCACAGGCCAACCAGCTATAATAAAAACTCATGAGCAGGCTCACATTGTTCAATGGGTTAGTTCAATTCTTGAAAAAGGGGATGTTAAAAATATTGTTGATCCAAGATTAGGGGGAGGTTTTTATGTTAATTCTGCCTGGAAAGCTGTGGAGTTAGCAATGGCTTGTGTCTCTCGTTCTTCCAACAAAAGGCCAACCATGACTTCTGTGGTGAAAGAACTGAAAGAGTGCTTGGATATAGAGACAGCTGACAATGAGAGAGAATCAAAGGATTCAATTGGGGTGATACCAACGAATATGGAGAGTGGACTTGGTCCCCGTGCAAGGTCGTGGAGTTCGTAAAAATTTGATTTTTCTGTGTTGAAACATTTCTACTTCAATAATGTTACTTGCACCAAATTTAGCTCTCAAATCCACTGCCAATGTTGGATTAACAATGAATTCGATCCGGTATTGAAACCCATTGGTTGTCTAACTGCAGCAGTGGATTCAATCAACAAATTTGGTCAATGAATTTGCTATTTCTACTTTAGTAGTTGTTCTTGAAACAACTTTTTTCTTTTGAAATCTGAAGTTTATGTCATGCCAGATTATGGACCATTATCATGGCCGTGGTGGAAATTCTTTCCTCTTAGTTTGTTTGTAATAAAGAACCTTGGAGTTTGCACCTTGAAATGCACTTAATGCCCTGGTTGTAACTTGTGTCGATGCAATTTCTATTACACAAAGGCAATTTCCTTCTTGTTCTAAGAAACATACAGCAGTGGAAATGGTGCCTACACATAACTAGGAGAAATTATCAAGGGTTAATAACACTTTTGGTTCTTAAAATGTAAATTTGTTATCAGTTTAGTCTTTAATGTATCAATGTTATCAATTTAGTCCCTAAAGTATTCAATTCGGTCACTTTAGTCTTTAATCAAATAATTCGTTAAGTTTTTTTTGACAAAAATGGTCATTTATTATTTTTTTTATATGGTATCACGTGTTCAATACATGATCAATAATAAAAAATTTAACGGTGAAAATGACATAAATTTAATATTTTAGGGAACAAATTGAAAAAATTGATGCAATAAAGATTAAACTGACAAAAAATATATACTTTAAGAACTAAAAGTATTATTAACCCAATTATCAATTAATGACTTTAACCAAAGAAGATGTAACGATGAAAACATCAGTTGAATCTTCAAGTTTTACGCAAATAGAGTTGAGGTTTGGGTGTGGATGATTGTTGCTTTCATGACTTGAGTATTATCAGGGGCATATGGTTAGGGTTCTTTAAAGTATTTCCATGGAGTTCATCGTACAATTTTTTTTTTTTTTTTTTTAATTTTTTCCGGCTTTTGGGGATCAACCTTTGTGGTGGTAAACTAGATTAGGGTTTTGGAGTGGAAAATGGGTTTGCATGGGAAATGAGTGGTTGGATTGTTGTGTCGTGTTCAATCATCTCAATTCGGAGAAAATATTCATTACAACAGTGATATCACATAGTAGTATGATATGATATCACCAACTAATAATATTAAAACAAATAAGTAAATAGATTCTTCAAAAATTAATAACCAACCTACTATATAAGTAAATAACTCCTCAGTCTTCCTCTATGTAAGTTCAAGTGGGATTCACCTTATCTACTTAGAGTATTATTATTGGTTTGTGATATCATGTCATCAATGGTGACATAGTATCACCGTTGTATTCAATATTTACTCATTAATTTGGGTTCTTGTCAAACATTATTCAACTTACCTCAATTCATTTAATTCCTACACTTCCCCAACCTATTTGTTATCTTGTCATATTCGGTTAGCTCGTGAACCAAAATTCTAAAATTAAGACTTGTTATCTCTTAACCAAACTCATGCTCATAGTTTTTCCATAAACTAAATAATCATAAATTCATATAGTTGTAAATATGACGAAAAAATGTTATTTTATTCACTAAATTGTTAATACTTGTTAAACATACTAGTAATTGTCATTCAAGCACGGGATATCAAAATAAATCGTTAATTAATATCAACCCATTTTCTTAAAAAAAAAAATTGATATAGTTTTCTCTAAAGACATAATCCTAAACAAATATCGACTTGTACTGAAACAAATATGCATAATTAAGACGAGCAACTACACAGAAAATCATTTGAAAAAAATTTTTAAAAAAAAAAAAACCTATACCATTTGTACATTGTCTTATTGCTTCCATAGTCACAAAAAAAAAAACTCAAAATCATGCAGCACACACATCTTTGCCTTTGTGTAATAACAATTTTGTCATCGTCTAATAACAACTTTTTTCATAGTCACATAAATTCATCCAAGACCAAAATCAAATAAAAACTTTATCTACATAGCTCTCAGTTAATACATTATTATTATAATAACCAAACTATCCCATTGATTATATTGGACGAACAAACCATTTTTTAAAATCCAAACATTTGATCTTTATAAGTCTTTTCCTACAATACTGTTCTTTGTATGTATTTGTCAACTTTCAAAATCATAGTCCTCTAAAAATCAAAGCAGTTCATGTTCAACTAACATTGTTCGTTGCATATAACCTGAATCAATTTCAAGTAATATATACAGATTAAAATAATGACTAAAACTTATTTTTTAGTATGATACTGAAAAATATTATGAATGTCATATCTAGTTTTAGGAGCCGATAATTTTGGAATAAATAACGAGTGTGCATTAGTTGAGTTTATAACTTGCCAGAATTTGAACCGTCTCCTCTTTCTGTTCTTAATTGTATACGATCAAAGTTACTAACATTTAGACTTTTCAAATTCTTACACTAAATAATCAAATATTAATTACTTATTGGAGCTTCAATCATTTATTATTCTCACTTCTATCAGAGTTTGTCCCTTGGAAATGCTTGAGGCTCTTTGCCTGCTTTCTGGTACCTGAGTATTCCTCCAGTTATGTTTAGCTGAAAGAGCATTCCACACTTTGATATTATTGGAATTAATACAAACTCCCCAAATAGTTTTTAATTTTTAATCAAAATTATATATATTTTGTAATGCTAGCCTCCATATGATTCTAGAAGTCTTGGTATTGCTACAGTAGGTAAGTAGTCTTGTTGTAGGATTTGTATTAGTTTTTCAATTCCTTTAAAAAAGTCTTTCTTGCAAGACTTCTTTGTGTAACGTCTGAACCAATCTTTGTTCTTGATTGTTGGATGCCATATGGATGGACTATGCAATGTGAAGGGTAATGCTTCTTAACCCAAACTTCTAAACATTGTTAAGCTACCTAATTTTACAAGTGAAGATGATCAATATTGTTACTTCATCTATTACTTCATAAGGCACATGCACTCAAGGTCGTGATTGTTATAGCACTGGGGAGAACATTCATGGTCTGTTGCAAAGAATCCTCTAAGTTATCTAAATTGTTGAATACAAAGGTTCTAACCAAAACATATGGTGGTTTTACTTGCTGGCATGGAGGACTCTTCTATTTACTTATACAAGAAAATAACCACGACATAAGTCAAAAACAATGGTCATGCTTATTATTGAAGTATTTTTTTAAATCCATTCATTCCCCCATCTTTTTCTCTTGTTTGTTTGTCATGAATGTCACTTCTCTAAGCTAACAATTAACGAATTGGAAAGATAACTCACCAGCTATTCAGTTACAACCATTTATTTCTAAATACTTACAGATTTATTATGTTTAAGATTTGTAATGTTGTATATCAATACATTTGGTACACATTAGAATTCCTACAAGTTTGTGTCCTATGAAAGATATGTCTTTTTGGTCATAAGTTTTTATGACAAAATTTGGAAGTTTTAGTGATTTTCCGTTTTGATGTGCTCTTAGTGTCACGAAAGAGATAGTTTGTGCACAGGTGCAAACTTTATACTTTTTGAAGGAAAGCCTACAATTTTTTTTTGGTGGGAAGGGGGGCGGAGAGAGGGAGAAGGGAGGGGAGACTTGAACCCTTAACCTCAAGAAGACAAAGTCTTCATAAGGTAAAGAATATCATTTGACTAAATACCCATTGATAAAGAAGGCCTACAATAAAGTGTGATTAGCTAGATGCATTCCCTTTGGCAATTAAGTTGCAACACACTGATATACTTTGGCAATTAAGTTGCAACACACTGATGTATATATTGGCAAATAAAGCTCCTCTAATAATGTCTAAGTATAGTTGTGATGTAACTTCATAAGCTTTTGTGTCCATTTTTTCATCTGCAGAATGCTTATGTTCCTTTGAGATGATAGTCAATTCACATCCGACTATGTCATGTGTTCCTTTTTTATAATTTGGGTACATGTCATGTATAAAAATCATTTCATTCGTAAAATGACTCACGTGTAACGTGTTCATCAATTAGTTCAATTAAACTTTCACTAACAACAATAACATATCATATTCACATAAAAAAAACCCTACAAATCATATTTAATGAAATTAACACTTCATTAAATTACAAAAGCAAGACACATTCAATTTTAAAAACATAACATCAAATCAAACATTCAATAAAAATAACACTAGCAACTATAATATTCATTTAATTTAAACACACAAATTATGCCAAAAAAAAACTCAAATTATGAAATCACCCCAATTATGAAAATACCCCAATTATGAAAACACCCTAATTGACAAATCACCCTTATTATCAAATCATTCAAAACACTCAAATTATGAAAAAAAAAAAAAAAAAAAAAGAAGCCAAATTATGAAAACACCAAAATAATCAAAACACCCAAATGTGTGTGTGTGTGTGTGTGTGTGTGAAGAGAGAGGAGGGGTACTTGACCTCGTTCCTGACAGAGGAGCAAGCAAGTGAGAGAGAGAGGGCACTCATTTGTTTTGGAAGAGAGAGACTGGCGCGTGTAGGTNTAACATTTAGACTTTTCAAATTCTTACACTAAATAATCAAATATTAATTACTTATTGGAGCTTCAATCATTTATTATTCTCACTTCTATCAGAGTTTGTCCCTTGGAAATGCTTGAGACTCTTTGCCTGCTTTCTGGTACCTGAGTATTCCTCCAGTTATGTTTAGCTGAAAGAGCATTCCACACTTTGATATTATTGGAATTAATACAAACTCCCCAAATAGTTTTTAATTTTTAATCAAAATTATATATATTTTGTAATGCTAGCCTCCATATGATTCTAGAAGTCTTGGTATTGCTACAGTAGGTAAGTAGTCTTGTTGTAGGATTTGTATTAGTTTTTCAATTCCTTTAAAAAAGTCTTTCTTGCAAGACTTCTTTGTGTAACGTCTGAACCAATCTTTGTTCTTGATTGTTGGATGCCATATGGATGGACTATGCAATGTGAAGGGTAATGCTTCTTAACCCAAACTTCTAAACATTGTTAAGCTACCTAATTTTACAAGTGAAGATGATCAATATTGTTACTTCATCTATTACTTCATAAGGCACATGCACTCAAGGTCGTGATTGTTATAGCACTGGGGAGAACATTCATGGTCTGTTGCAAAGAATCCTCTAAGTTATCTAAATTGTTGAATACAAAGGTTCTAACCAAAACATATGGTGGTTTTACTTGCTGGCATGGAGGACTCTTCTATTTACTTATACAAGAAAATAACCACGACATAAGTCAAAAACAATGGTCATGCTTATTATTGAAGTATTTTTTTAAATCCATTCATTCCCCCATCTTTTTCTCTTGTTTGTTTGTCATGAATGTCACTTCTCTAAGCTAACAATTAACGAATTGGAAAGATAACTCACCAGCTATTCAGTTACAACCATTTATTTCTAAATACTTACAGATTTATTATGTTTAAGATTTGTAATGTTGTATATCAATACATTTGGTACACATTAGAATTCCTACAAGTTTGTGTCCTATGAAAGATATGTCTTTTTGGTCATAAGTTTTTATGACAAAATTTGGAAGTTTTAGTGATTTTCCGTTTTGATGTGCTCTTAGTGTCACGANCTTTTGTTTTGGAAGAGAGAGACTGGCGCGTGTAGGTTTGTTTTGAGTTGGGTGGCGTATGTATGTAGATATGGTGGGCGGGATTTGGGTTTTAGATGGGATGGATAGTGGGAAATGAGATTAAATTAGATGAATTTAGATGAGTCTGAATTATATACATAAACTTCAATTAAATTCTAATCGTTTTTTTATTTTTCTAAATTGGGATAGCTGATTTCAATTTGGAAAGTTTTAAAAGTATTATATCTTATTATTATAGATTAATTTTGTTAGTTTTGGTTTATTAGCATTTAACATTAATCTGACTCAATTATTATCCTCATTAGTAGGTTGCCTTTTTTAATTTGTGTTAAAAAATAATCAATTTTAACTCATTGAATTTATATCATGTTCAATTCATATTATTTCACAGTATAAAAAATTGTCACCCTTAGAGGCTACCCAAACTCTGGTCAAGATGAAATTGCCCGGTCTACTCTATCAAATATGAGTTTCAGAGGCTTTTAAAAGTTGTAGTTAATTGTCCCAGATATCCTTAAAATATGATATTTGTCTCATTTTAATTTCTAATACTTTAATTATATTACTTTAGTTTCTAAAATATTGAATTTATTTTTATGTAAATCGTCCAAATTGTGAACGACTTTTTATTATAAATTTGTCACAAAATGATTAAATATATATGCAAAAGAATAATTTGGATAATTTTTTATCAAATTTTTATTCAAATTTTAATTAAAGTGCTACCCAAATTATATAATTTTGATCATAAGCTATCTAAATTTTGGTTAAAAATTATTCATATTACACATTTTTTGTCGAGAGCTGCCTAAATTAATTTTTGACCATATTTAAGTATTATGTGATAAGTTTATGATAAAANACTTTAGTTTCTAAAATATTGAATTTATTTTATGTAAATCGGCCAAATTGTGAACGACTTTTTATTATAAATTTGTCACGTAATGATTAAATATATATGCAAAAGAATAATTTGGATAATTTTTTATCAAATTTCTATTCAAATTTTAATTAAAGTGCTACCCAAATTATATAATTTTGATCATAAGCTATCTAAATTTTGGTTAAAAACTATTCATATTACACATTTTTTGTCGAGAGTTGCCTAAATTAATTTTTGACCATATTTAAGTATTATGTGATAAGTTTATGATAAAAAATTATTAATAATTTAAATATTATCACATGAAAATATATTTAATATTTTAAAAATAAAAATAATATAATTAAAATATTAAAGATCAGATAAAATAAATTATATATTTTAGGTACTTCTTAGTGTAATTAATCCTAAAAATTAGAACTAAAGCCCAATTCATTGAGGACCTTCAAGTGTGTCCTTCGAATTCAATGGTGATTATAGCTTAGATCCTCGTGTCACCATCTCCTAGGTTCTGGAGTCTGGACAATTGCCACCTCTCTCTCTCTCTCTCTCTCTCTCTACGACTCATTTTTTCCCAACGCTGGGATGTCTTTCTCTCTCTTCAATATTGAGTTTCATGCTTAATATGATTACTGAAATTGAAGGCAGGCAAACCCATCAATCCTCTCTCCTGGAACATTATTTTCACGTTTGACAAAAGGATATGGAAGAAATTAAGTCCCCAAGCAAAAAAGTGTGAAAAGAATCAGTTTTGTTGTTCAAATTCAAACGTCTTTGATTNTTCTCTCTCTTCATTATTGAGTTTCATGCTTAATATGATTACTGAAATTGAAGGCAGGCAAACCCATCAATCCTCTCTCCTGGAACATTATTTTCACGTTTGACAAAAGGATATGGAAGAAATTAAGTCCCCAAGCAAAAAAGTGTGAAAAGAATCAGTTTTGTTGTTCAAATTCAAACGTCTTTGATTCTCCATAAATTCATCCTTGACCACCACCACCCCATACGCCTTCAATCAATAGACTGACATAGTGAAAAACATTACCACAATCCCCGGCTTCTGTTTTTCTCTTTTCTCTCTCTCACCATGATCTTTGTTGCTTCGTTTTTGCCAAGAAAATTAGCTACATAATCTCTATTTAGTTGAGAATCCTCTATCGTAGATTCGAATCACGACAGCGACTTCATACCTGGCACGTCTTCGTATGGTTCGAAACAGACCCACCTCACCTCCTTCGGCTTTAATGATTTGGGTTTAAGATGTATTTCCTGAAGATAGAGTCTTGATTGAAAACTTTCTTCTTTTGAGATTAAACGTTCACAAGTGTACACTTTTACAAATACCCATTTCGGAATTTGAAGTGGTACCACTGATTTTCGTGAGTTTGTGATAGCTGAAGCAGCTTTCTTCCTTGAAGAAACCCTTGTGAATCATATATCCATGTGGTGATACTCCAACCCATTTTGTCATTCTTATTGGGATATGCCATTACAGAGATTGGTTTTGCCATTAGAGGAAAGGAAATCTGAAATTCCTCAGAATTTTTTGAATTTGGAAGGGATTTTCCGAACTACTGGGCATTTTCAGGTTTGGTTTAACCAAACAAACCATATCCCTGAATTTGGAATTGATTGAATATTCAAGTAAATATGAAATCAAGGTTAGTTACGTTGGAGGAAGGCAAAGACACAGCCATCACAGTTAGAGGTAACCAATCTAGGGTTTTGCCGTGGAGGCTGTTGCAATTTATCTTGCTGTTTTTGGGTCTAGGCATTGTGTTTTCAATTATTAGTATGTATATGGTCCGGTATTTAAGAGTCCAGAATGTAGTTCCGGAGGTGCAGTCCAGTATCCAACCCTGTTTTCAAGAGACAAGTGATTTACAAAGTTGGATTAAGCCTCCATCAAACCTCTTGCATACAATGAATGACACTGACCTGTTTTGGAGGGCTTCATTTGTTCCTCAAATAAAAGATTTTCCATTTGAGAGAACTCCCAAGATTGCCTTCATGTTCTTGACAAAGGGACCATTGCCACTGGCACCTCTGTGGGAGAAGTTTCTTAATGGGAATGAGGGGCTTTATTCAATATATGTTCATTCACTGCCATCATATAAAGCAAATTTCCCACGATCATCCATCTTTTATGGGAGGCAAATTCCTAGTCAGGTATCAGCTAACACCAACTTTCTTCTAATTGCTAATGGAGTTGGATGCTTAGTCTGAACTTGTTATTGTTGTAGCTAGTGTGATATAGTTTCTTAGTGGCTCTCTCTATCTAATTTCTTGGGCTAATTGGTAGTTTGGCTTTCTACGATTACTTCATGGGGTATCGTTTCCACTGTCCTCCAAATATGTGTATGGTTGATTCTCTTTAGCATTCTTAAAGTAATCCATCCTGGGGAATTTGTAAATATGTGGGAACCTCTGCTTTTGTTGCTACTGCCTTTTAGCTCTCTTTTGAGATCATTACTAGGATTTCTGCTGTGAGTTGTAAATCCCGAGTTATATCCGTAAACATTTACCCATTTTGACGAGGTCTTGGTCAGGTCATGCTTGATATGTTTTTTATGTTATTAATTTTGTTAATTTTTACATTTATACAGTTGAGGCTTTATACTTGCTTTTATAGGTAGGGCTCCTAATATAGTTGTCACTTGGTCACTGTTAGGTGCTTTGTATGGTATTCTCAATAATCAACAAACATGTCGAATGCAAAACATGGCTAATTGAGGGCATCTAGATCTGTTAGTCCTTTTCTCCCCTCTCATCTCTTTATCACTCTGCCACTCTTATAATAGACCGTCTCTGCCACTCTTATTATTATAGATATAGATTAATGATATAATTTTAAAAATTTTAATCTTTTAAAATAGAAAATTATAATGTGAAAAATTTTTGAGCTGCAACCATGCTTGTGAATGTATATGTTATTAAATCTGCAAAAACATGGAATATGTACGATCAAAATGAATAATACATCTTGTCTAAGTTATTAATTTCATCGTTGAAAAGTTTATGTTGTCCAAGTTGCAGGAGTGCAAGGTCACGTGAAGAGCGAGTTAGAGCGAAAAAGGCCCTAACAAATATTAGTATAAAATTTGGATTTCAAGTGCATATTGAGACAAAATGGATATAATGAGTCCGAAGGTGTAGTCATTTTGATTGATGTAATTTAGAAGAGGTACAAAATTTGAATTTCAAGTGCATATTGAGACAAAGTGATGTAATGAATGCCAAATACATGGGGAAGGAAGTGTAGTCATTTTGATTGATGTAGTTTAGAAGAGGGTACTATTTGCTTTTCTAACATTTGAGTTTATATGCCACACTCTAGACTTGATTTTTAGAGAAAAATGATACAAGAGCTTCGGGGGTTGGCGTAGCAATGTTAGACACGTGTCCAACACTTCTAGAAGTGTCGTGCACAGGAGGATTGATTTTTTTGCAACAGATACGACTTGGATACGCGATGGATATGGAAAGGATACTACGGGATCTCATTTCTTATTTTAAAAACTTGAACAGCTGAAAGGAGAAAAACGAAAAAAAGGAGGTAAACGTGACCCCCATCTCTAGTATTGTGAGAGAGAGTGAGAGTGAGAGAGAGAGGGGGGGGAGGAGGAGGAAAGGAGAAAAACGAAAAAAAGGGGTAAACATGACCCCCATCTCCTGTATTGAGAGAGAGAGGGGAGGAGGAGGAGAACAAAGCTTTTGGGCCTGCAAAAAGATCGATCTTCGAACCCCATCCCACTAGATCTTTAATCGAGTGCAAAGAGGAAAACGAAGCTTTTGGATAATTAGAACCCCTATCTCCACCGGTCACCAAATTTTCGATCGACTATGAATAGGAGAATGAGCTTTGATGGACTACGACTGCAACTCTCCAGATCCAAACATCCAAGTTTAATTTTTTTTTTTTTTGGGTCTGGTACTAGCGAGTTTGTGACTCTCTAGATCCTTACTTTTGGGTTTTGTTACTTTTTTTGGGGTTGCTATTTTGTGCAATAATTTTGTGTGGAGTTCCTCATACGGTCATACGTGCAAAAATGCAGACATTAGTAAATCAAAAGAATATGTAAAAAGATATAAACCTATAAACCTTTTTATCTAGTCATGAAAAGCCTCTTATTAGTTATTAGTTATTATTAATGTTGTTATTATATATAAAAGATATTATTATTAGTTTAATTGGCTGTGTCCTCGCCATACGCGTGTCTTATATTTTGGAATTTTGTCACATCCCCGTGTCTGTATCGTATCGGATACAACACCCGTGTCCGTATTGTATCAGATACAACACCCGTGTCCGTATTCTTGCTTCTTAGTACAAGAGCCTATTAGAGCTGAATATTAGAAAGGAATGATCAAAATGCCCAACCAAGCATAATGCATGGACTGATACATCATATTTCTACAAAGCCATGTGTGCTTTTTGTTTGGGTTCTAGATGTAGATAATTAGGGGTTTTGTATATTCTTGTTGGGATCAATATACTTCATGTTCATCTGTTTTAACCATGTCCTCTAATGGGTTGGGCCGTTCTTGCTCCACCTTTGTATGTCTACACTCCACTCCCAAATTTTATGCATGAAAAATCAATCACTGCCCCCCACCTACCCTTCTTCCCACTAAATAGAAGATAGGGAGGGGAGGGAAAAGGAAAAGATTTGACCTGCTAAACCCTCTAGCCCCTCCTCCTGGCTTGGTGGGAGCCTCATCCAGAGCCACCCACCCCCTCCCAAAAAAATTCTGATCCCTCACCCCAAAACAGCAACGCCACCACTGTTACAGCCACAACCACTGTTGCAGCCGCCACCACCGAACCCTCCACTCTATTGCACCCAATACCCACCAACAAATCCCAATCCAACCTCAACCACAGCAAACCCAAAGAAAGAGAGGGAGACCAGAGGAGGAGGAGGAACTGGGGATGGGGGGTGGTTTGGGAATTGGGTTTGATTGGGTGATGAGGGCGGGGGTTTCAATGGAATGGTATCTAAAATTTAACATTATGGTACTGTTTATGTTCTATTTTTTCTCATTAAATTTAAATTTCTGACTTTTGAAGTCGAAAAAGTAGTTCATATATGCTTTAAGTCATCGGATTCAAACTGAAATNGTTTTGATTGGGTGATGAGGGCGGGGGTTTCAATGGAATGGTATCTAATTTAACATTATGGTACTGTTTATGTTCTATTTTTTCTCATTAAATTTAAATTTCTGACTATTGAAGTCGAAAAAGTAGTTCATATATGCTTTAAGTCATCGGATTCAAACTGAAATAATGGATTTCTGAATGTAACATAAAGTTCTCTTGTCAGGTTTTCTCAATACGAGAACGTGTTTGTCAGTCTATAGAAACTTGTTGAGATTTGTACCACTATCAGAATTAGGTTTGCATCTTGAGTGGAAGTTTCTATCTCGAATAAGATTGCAGTTCTCTAATTTGAAGTGAAAGTAGTTGCATTTGGTATAATTCGTTGTTGCTGATCTCTCGATTGTTCATTTGTGGTTTTCTAATGTGGCAATTAGTATGTATTTTCTCATTTTGGAAGTGGATGTGAATAGTAAATTTTGGTGCTTCAACTGGGGATTTGTATATAGAAGTAACTGTAACCTGAAAGGTATTATCATCGTGAAGGGTGATTGCCTGTTTTCCCTTCTATGTAAACTGAACAAAATCATAGAAGCAGAGGTAGTTGAATTCATCGGTCATCTAGTAATTGTGGAATGCTGAGTATTATAGTTATCATCCCTTTGTTTACAAATGGAAGTGATGAGGTTGTCATAAAAAACGATTGGCTGCAATTTTGACTACAAAATCTACATGGGTATTTTTGGAATCTTATTTTGCTACTTCCCGCTCATCAGTTTTTTTGTTTGTCTTTGAACATTCGAAGGATATTTGTAACATTAACAACTCCGTTGCTGTGTGAGCAAATGATTGACCTGCACATCTGTCTCTTGAAGTCACTTTTGTTTGGGTTAACATCCCGGAGAGTATGGCCTTGGATAGGGAGACATGGTGAGAGAGACTTTTGAACCCACCGCTATCGTTCAGAGAAGGCTTAGGGGAGGCATGATAATTATCTTCTGAACGAACAGGGGAGGTTGTTCTTGCAATTTGAGTCAGACAAAGAAATGATAGTCTTTTTATTTTCCTTTTTGGGGGTCTGTAAAGAAATGGTGGTTTATGCAGTAAACTTTGATCCATGAACGTACTTTTCATATTTCACTCTCCATTCTTCCTGTCTTTTGGCAATTTGGGACTTGAATATGTGAGAGTTAAGCTGTAGCATCGACCTCCTTGCATTCTGCTGGGTTAGCATCAATCAAAATCTGGAGAAATCATCATTGCTAATGAGATACATTCTCCTTCACAGTCTTCATGGATGGGCAATGTGATTTACTCTGTGGGTGTGTTTACTTTGAAGGATGTGAACTTTAGAAGGTTATGAAACCGGCTGGTTTTTTTGTTGTCCCTCCCAAAAATTGCTTCTTTTTTTTTATTTATTTCTTTCTGTTTTAACAACGCCAGTGCCCTGAGATGCTTATGGAACCCTGGATTGATAGGGTACATGTAACAAAAGTTACATGGTTCAGCAGATTTTGATGATAAATTAGCTATACTAGTAAGGTTTTATACATCCCCCCCCCCCCCCCCAAATTAAAAAAAAAAAAAGGTTTTATACATTAGCTTTGCATCTTTGTGGTGCAATTTCACTGATTGGATGGTGTCTTCTTAATTGCATGTTGTTGTAGATGGCGGAGTGGGGGAGAATGAGTATGTGTGATGCTGAGAGAAGACTCCTAGCGAATGCTTTGCTTGATATCTCCAATGAGTGGTTTGTTCTACTGTCTGAGGCGTGCATTCCTCTTCACAACTTCAGCATTGTTTATCGCTACATATCAAGATCTCGGTTCAGCTTCACGGGTTCATTTGATGAGGATGGACCTTATGGCAGAGGGCGCTATAATCAAAACATGGCTCCTGAGGTCAACCTCACAAATTGGCGTAAAGGGGCTCAGTGGTTTGAAATTAATCGAAAACTGGCAATTGACATCATTGAGGATACTGTTTACTACCCAAAGTTTGAACAGTTCTGCAGACCTGCATGTTATGTGGATGAGCACTATTTCCCAACCATGCTTGGCATCCAATCTCCCAACCTCTTGGCAAACAGGAGTGCCACCTATGTCGATTGGTCTAGGGGTGGTGCTCATCCTGCTACTTTTGGGAAAGCTGATATTACAGAGCAATTTTTCAAGAAAATTTTTGAAGGTCAAACATGCATTTACAACAATCAGCCATCTTCACTTTGTTTTCTTTTTGCCAGGAAATTTGCCCCAAGTGCTTTGGATTCTTTACTGAACCATTCATCCATTTTTTTCGGGTTTTGACAGAAAAATCACCTTGTGAACTACATTTTGGCTTCTTTTCATCCCAGTTCATAGGTTTCTTAATGTATCAAAGGATGTCGGATACTTGGAAGAATATCATCCTAAATTAGAATCTTAGGCAGGGTTGTGGTACAATATTATTCTTATCTATGTTTAATGTAATGGTATTGCATTTATTCCTTTGCCATTTGGTACATTATTCCTCTGTTCTATAGACATGAAAAGCACAGTGTTTCAGTTGCACTGAATGAGGCTCTTCATCACCTTTTTGAAGGCTCAGTTTGCATCCTTTTATGTTTCACATTTGTTGCCACATTTGGATGATGAAAATGGTTCCCTTGAAGTTTTGGAAGAGTTGTTGCTGTATATGCCCCAATCATACGGTAAGAATCCCTCAGATTTGAGTGGCATATTGTCTTGGTAAGCAAAAATTTATTGATCTCACCATTGAGGCGTTGTCCACCAATCCAATGGTTTAAATACACAAGATTGCATACCAGAAACTGTGTTGAATAGAATATGTTGCACATCGTTTCCATTTTTGGACGAAAACTTAATTGAATTACAGGTTCATGTGAGAGTGCCTAGGCATNAGATTGCATACCAGAAACTGTGTTGAATAGAATATGTTGCACATCGTTTTCATTTTTGGACGAAAACTTAATTGAATTACAGGTTCATGTGAGAGTGCCTAGGCATAAATAGAGGGTGGCCAGCTTGTAGTGTGGAGATATGTAAAACAGTCTCCACATGGTTACTTGGCATTCTAAGGATTGTTTCGATAAAGGACCAAAAACAATTCGATCTAAGAATTCGAGCAGGCACCTCACAATTCATCATGGGGTTCATTCGACAGAGGAGTTTCCAGCTGGAGTTCAAGAATATATCCGGCTGCCAATGATGCATGAAGTGCAGCACCAAAAGGAAGTGCATCTTCATTGACCCTAAAATAGGGTGAGTGCAGCAATGCAGGTTTTGCGTTTGTTTCATTCTTCGCTCCAAGGAAAAAGAAGTATCCTGGTATCAGCTCTTGATAATATGAGAAGTCCTCAGATCCCATCAATGGTTGCATGTCTTTAACATTATGCACGCCAATCATATCCCCAGCAACACTTCGATAATGGTCGTGCAGGTCTTTATCATTTCTGGTCACCGGGAAGAAAGCTAGGAAATTAACGGTTGCATTGCACCTTTGAACAGCTGCTTGCCCAATAACCACCTGTTATTAGAGACTTAGCTTCTGAATATTCAAAAACGCAAGAATTGACCAGGAGAATATCACGAAAAGTTAAGAATTTGAAGATCAAAGAGAACTCAGCAAGAATAGTGAAAAGTTTATTTTTCTAAATAATATGGGGGAAGCAATACAAATAAGCATACAGTGCCTTTCTGTTATATTTAGGTTTATGTAAGATCTTCCAAATAAATCCAACATCATCTACTGTGTGATTACGAATAATTATATAACTGCACACAAAAAAGTTATATAACAAAACAGGATGGAAGTTGAATCTTATCCCTACTATATTTTCCCCCCCAAAACTATCCCATCCAACCCAACCCAACCATCACATCCAACCCAACCCGACGGCTCCCTGCAAACACAAAGCAATGTCGAAGACAGCCCTGTCCTCNATTTATATAACTAAACAGGATGGAAGTTGAATCTTATCCCTACTATATTTTCCCCCCCAAAACTATCCCATCCAACCAAACCCAACCCAACCCAACCATCACATCCAACCCAACCCGACGGCTCCCTGCAAACACAAAGCAATGTCGAAGACAGCCCTGTCCTCTCTCTCTCTCACCTCAGTCTCTTCTCTCTCAGGGGCGAGTCACTTCCCCAAAATCATGCAGGCTGTCAATCTCTTCTTTCTCAGGCGGCCAGTCACTTCCCCCAAAATCATGCCGAAGACAGGTTGCCACTTCAACACAAACAACCCCCCCCCCAA